GTGTGTGTGTGTGTGTGTGTGTGTGTGTGTGTGTGTGTGTGTGTGTGTGAGTGTGTGTGTGTGAGTGTGAGTGTCGTCTAGTTGTAACTGAGTTCTAAAGCGAGTTGTAATTGATTGTCTTGATTGATTAGATCTGTTGGTATCGTGCAGTCTGAGGGGTTTTTAGCTGGTCCTGCATCAGTGACTCCTGCTGATGTCTCTGTGTTTGACAGCGAGATGCGGGATAGATGCACAGAAATCTGAATTCACAGCTTCTGATTTCAGAATATCAGTCTGATTTTGAGCTTCAGACATGATTTCAAAGCTTTCTGATCTGCTGCTTCTGACTCTATCAGACCTGCTCTATGATCCTCGTGTCCATCTGTCTCTCTGCAGTGCTCAGCCAATTCAGTTTAGAATCCACTTGAAGTATTATAGAGCTTTTCCACATTCACTTCAGTGAGAGAAAATGAGATGCACTGGACTGTAGAGATGAAACGTATTAAAAATAATCATTTAAAACATTAAACACTTAAGAATGTTTTAAAAATGTTTGTTTTTCATAAAAATATTAAATGTTAAGAAAACATTCCATTTGATCATTTTACAAACGTTTTGGCAACGTTACTTTTGAATGTTTTCTGAACATTCTGAAACAATAGTAACATTTAAAAACTGTTACATGAACATCCGACTGAAACCTTCTTTGAACGATGTATAAATAAATGTCTTTGTGCTAACAGTTTGAGAACATTTATTAAAGACTTTAATGGTGTGGAAATTGAACTTATAATTAAAAACAATTCTTTTAAACATTAAGCACTTTTAAATCCTTCAAAACGTTTTTTCTTAGTTGTACAAACATTAACATTCCATTTGATCATTTTGTAAACATTATGGAAATGCTACTTTTGAATGTTCTGAAACAAATTGAAACATTGTTCTCTTGATTTATACAAACATTAAAGAAACATCTGTGTCCCTGGAGCACAAAAGCAGTAAGTCAAGTCGCTGGGGTATATTTGTAGCAATAGCCAACAATACATTGTATGGGTCAAAATTATACATTTTTCTTTTATGCCAAAAATCATTAGGATATTAAGTAAAGATCATGTTCCATGAAGATATTTTGTAAATTCCATACCTAAAACTTAATATTTGATTAGTAATATGCATTGCTAAGAACTTCATTTGGACAACTTTAAAGATGATTTTCTCAATATTTAGATTTCTTTGCACCCTCAGATTCCAGATTTTCAAATAGTTGTATCTCAGCCAAATATTGTCCTATCCTAACAAACCATACACCAATGGAAATATTATTTATTCAGCTTCCAGATGATGCATAAATCTCAATTTCAAGAAATTGACCCTTATGACTGGTTTTGTGCTCCAGGGTCACATTTTATTTTATAATTTTGCTAAATTTGTTAATGTTTAAATATAAAAAAATTTTAATGTCCACCTAAAACAGAAATAAAATGTTCCATGAATGATGCATAAATAATGTTTTTTTGAGATTATCATCTTATCAAAAATAATTATTTTAAACATTAAAAAGGTTATAACTTGATTTACACTAAAAAAAAAAAGCTAGTCAGTTAGTCAAGCTGGTTATTACTGATGTTAATGGCCTCCAAAATGGTCAAACATCAGCCGATTAATCAATATATGGCTAGTTGTGAGTGTGGTTATGATTATAAAATCATAGCAGAGTATATCAGCGATGAAAGGAGTGTGTGAATGAAAGCCTAATAAATCCTCTTTCGCTCAGTGCCGGCTCGAGCGCTCACCGACCCGCAGAAGCAGCTGTAATCGGATCAAACACTCCAGCACAGACCTCATCACAACCCAAGCAGAGCCTCACCTGGACGAGTGTGCGGTCAGAGACGGAGCAGATCCAGAGTCCAGGGACGCCGGCGCCGCTCAAGCCCATGGACGGAGCAGACGAGAGCCTCTGCTGCTGTTTGTGACGGATCCTCTCAGACTGATGCTGCTTTCTGGAGGAGGCTCTAGCAATCTCTCTCACTGTGTGTGTGTGTGTGTGCTTTCTGGCTCGTCTCCGTCACTCGCATGTGGATCTTATCACACTGAGAGCTTTCTATTGGCTCTGATCAGCACACAAATCATGCCTCTCTTTCTCTCTCTCTCTCTCTCTCTCTCTCTCTTTCTCTGAGAGCATGAATATGTTATTATGTTCACAAAAGCCTTACGCATTGTTTATGAATTACCAGCCTTCCAATCAACAAAGGCTATTTTCATAAGAAACCTCCATTTCATTTCAGCTTCAATTTGATTACCAGCTAAAGAATAGAAGCCCTTCGGCCAAACCCCCAGCGGCTCCCCTCTGTTCTCCCTGGTTTTATTCATGCCCATTGAACTCTCCCACTCTCCCTCTCTCTCTCTCTCTCTCTCTCCCTCTCCCCCTTTCTGGAGTTTCTGGAGGTTTTCTGATGGTGTGAACCAAAGAACTTACAGGATTTAGTCGTGAACATTAAACAGCAATCACAAAATACTGTGAGACATGCACTATTGAGAATCAAATGCAGTTGTAAATACAACAAAGATTCAAAATGTCACATTGAATGTGTTACTTGTCCTTTCTTTGTAATTAATTGATACCATTTTTAAATTTTTTTAGTTTTCACCAATTATTGTGTCTTGTGGAATAAATGAATTAAAAAATGAAATGTAATTCATAAAAATCCCTCTTTTTAAAATGTTAAACATTTAGCAGTTTCTAGTATGTGAATGTATGGTCAGGACTGAGGACAATTCTACTCATCCTTTTTTCTGTCTTTAATTCCTTAATTTAAATGAATTAATTAATTTATTTATTATTTTCTTTTTGTATGATTTCAAACTTGATTCATATGTTTTTCAGGAGATCTTGCGTCACAAGAAATGACCAGTTGAAATGTTTTTCTCATTTGGCCATAATTTGTTTTAAATGGGAAAAGTCTGAATGGTTTCATATTGATTGCTGTTTGTAATTGTGTTTTTGTTGCAGTGTTTCTCAACACACTTCCAGACAGTAAGGTAATTATTATTAAAATATGCATTTATAAATCAGATCTAGAACCAGGTTAGAATTGGTTGTATAATCAACCCATGATGTTAATTTTCATGTTTATTGTTAAAACTACAAAGGCAAGTTATTATATATAATACTTGCAGCACTGTGCATATGGACTAATATGTAATGAATGTATTTAGAATAAAAAGATTGGGACTGATTTGACTAATTATCCTCTGCTCGTATCTGTCAGGAAAGTCGAACAAATTATTTTCTACTCTATTGAATTGTATAAATGAAGGCGATGGTGTAAGATTCTCACTTTATTACAGCGACACCTGCTGGACACGCGCTGTTTGTCGCTTACTGACGCGTCAACTTTCACTTTAAATAACGCGACGCTTCCTTCAGTGTATGGCGCTGCTCGCGTTGAGCGGCAGAATCGCGTTAAATCCGACACAGTGGTTCAATAAAGGGTGTATTGATCTTGTGAAATACGATTTTTTTAGCACATTGAACTCTACCAATATTGTTAATTTGTTGTTAAAGTTTTAAATGGGATAATGCACACCGAGCCATATTGCGCCATCAGCCCAATTTGCGGCGCGTTTTCTCAGAAGATGCGTTTAAAGGGACATAAAGACTTTATAGTAGAGTTACTTTCCTAACAGCATCCAGATTCTGAGAACTTTTTAGTAAAACAGTTTTTTACCATTCTGAGCCAGTCCATTGCGGTTAGTCGCATGTGTCACGTTGAAAGTCCAATTAAAAAAAAAAAAAAAACATGGTACAGTAAAAAGTGGTCAAATGTAGGCAGTAACGCGTCAGCTTTAACGCGTCTTCTGAGGCGGACGAGAAAACGCGCCGCGAAATGGGCAATTTAATGGACCGCTTAAAAAGAATGGTGCTGTAACAAAATTCAGATTTTGAGCATTTTGTTAAGAGTATAACCTCTAGTATAAAAGCATTATCTACTTTAATGCATCCTCTGAATAGGCCGAGAAAACGCAATGTGTGTATTGTCCAACATGCCAAGTTTATGGTTCATAACAATGATAGTACAGTAAAAAAAAAAAAATGCTTAACACGCCGCGAATATTTCGCAAGATCAGTAAAGCTTTAATGAAACCACTCTGTCGGATTTAAAGCATTTGGCGGAGAAATGCTGAATTTCTTCATCAAATTCTACAGCGCTTAATGCAAGCGGGACTGAAGGAAGCGTCGCGTTATTTAAAGGGGAAGCTCACACATTAATAAGCAACAAACTGTCAGTAAGTAACTGGACGACACTTTCAGATCAATTCTTGCACATTTGTTATTTACATGTTTATTTTCTGTGTCCAGATCTCATGCTTACAGTCACATTTATTATTATGATCGTCATCAGCCTCTTCAGTGATCAGAAGATCTCAGACCTTCTTCTGTACAACTCCTTCTTACAGTATTACTAAATCTAAAACTGATTTTATATTGACGCACTAAAGCAAAATATAGAAATTACCTTTTTATAGGGATAGTTCACCGACAACTCAAAAATGTTTTTTTTCTGTGAAACACAAAAGGAGACATTTGGGAAATATCAGTTGTTGTTGTTTTTTTGGTTGATGATATCATTTATGTTTATGTGCTTAGTGTATTATTATTATTATTGCAGATGAAAATTGAGACTAATTCTAGCTCATTTAAATTGATGTAATGTGAATTAATTAACCTGCATCATCCCAGATCTCTTGACTTCAGTCATGGAAAAAGTTTTTAAAAAACTCCAAGTAAAAGGAATAATTTATTACGACAGTAATGTTACAGTTCCACTCTATATTGTTTTTGCAATTTAAATTATTTGAATGTCAAATGCTCAAAAAAACACATTGTTTCTCATATATATATTCTATATTCAATGTATTCTAATTCTATTTTTTTTGAACTTGTGAATTAATTAACCTGCATCATCCCAGATCTCTTGACTTCAGTCATGGAAAAAGTTTTTAAAAAACTCCAAGTAAAAGGAATAATTTATTACGACAGTAATGTTACAGTTCCACTCTATATTGTTTTTGCAATTTAAATTATTTGAATGTCAAATGCTCAAAAAAACACATCGTTTCTCATATATATATTCTATATTCAATGTATTCTAATTCTATTTTTTTTAAACTTGTCCCTTTTAGACTTGCACTCTATTCATTTACTGCTTGTTTTCTTTTTTTTAAACTAAGACTAGCTTTTCTAATCTTTTTGAATTCTATCTATTAGTTTTCTTTTTATTTATTATACAATTATCAAAAGCAAAAAAGGCCTCTAACACTAGCTTGCTCTATTCTTTTTCTATTCTATTTGTTTTCTTTTTATTTATTAAAAAAACCCTTGCTACGTGTACTGCGTGTCAGAATAGAACTGTTTCAAAATGTTAGAAAAATAGATGAAGAAAACTCAGAAATCACACACATGGAATCATGGGACTGATGAAGTAACAGAGAAGAAACTGCAACATTTACACAACTGAAATCAACAGTTTCTCGTAAATTGTTTCAATGGCAAACATGAGCTGATCTTGTCCTTTATTGATTATAGTCTGAGCAGAGGGAAGTGTTTTGAGTTTAAAGAATTAATTTGTGAAAAAATCATGAATATATACATTAATTTGTTAAAATATTGCATGTTTTATATCATAAAAATGAAAAGTCGAGATATAATTTAGCAATGCCAAGCTGTTAATAAATGACATGACAGAAAAATGAATTTTTTTGACAATGAAATTAAAGAAAGGTTTCTCATGAGAATGAACGATCAGTCACTGCCCTCTGCTGTTCAGAATGACACAAACGATTCTTAATGATTCACTGAGTCACTTTTAATCTCCAGTCCTTTTATTTATGTATCTGTACAGAATCTATATCATCAACGCAAGAACCCAGACCGGATGAGCTTCTTTGGATCGCAGTCGTTTTCTGAAGAAATAAACCTCAAATGAAATAACTGTGTGTCGTTCGGGCTCCAAAAACCACCAAACCATCATCTTAAATGAACATTAGCGCATGTTTAAAATACAGATGTCCAAATATTATTGTTGTTTATTATTAGTGTCCATTACACATGTCTGTATCAAACAGCAGAGATTGTGTGAGCGCTGAAGTGTTTCTCATCATCAGAAATCACGCTGACTCTCAGGATCTGTACACATTTACAGAAGCAAAGCCTACAGAAAACAACTAAACATGTTCTGGGATATAAAAATAAGTCTAAAAGCTCAGATGGAGAGAAAGTGCAAATGAACCTAGAGGAATGTCGAGCGCTTTCAGGAGGATCTTCGATGTGAGCTGAAGTCCTTTAGAAGTGTGTGGCTCATGCAGAGATGGAGCTGCTCTTTATAATGATCAGCATTCATGTACAGACGAGTGACGTGACGTTTGCGTGGTTTAACAAGCGCTGACGGCATCTGAGAGAGGAACACACACACACACACACACAGAATCAGTGGAATTCACTTTCGCTGCTCTTTCTAAAATATCAAAGTCTGAGATCATTCCTGAGCCGCAGTCCTAACATTAGTTTTCTCTCAGAGTTTTTTTTTCTCTCATCAAAAATTCTTCTCTTCAAAAAAAAAAGTTTTTTTTTTTTCTCTTCAATTTTCTTTCTTCACAAAACATTTTTCTCACCAAAAACGTACAATTTTGTTCCCCATTTTGTGTCTCTCAATTTTCTGTCTTCAAATTTTTTTAAGGTGTTCATAATTTATTACATTAATTATTAAATATAAATTATGCATTATTATAATAATAAATTCTGTATAATTACATGCAAGTAATCCTAAACCAAATCCTAACCCTAACTATTTAATAAGTACATGTAGTTCATTAATATTACTCAGTACTTAAATGTATAACTATGGAAGCCTGTTTCCGCCACCGAATAAAAATAAAACAAGGTAATTGCGACTTTTCATCTCACAGTTCTATTTTTCTCGCAATTGCGAGTTCATATCTCGCAATTCTGACTTTATAACAAGCAATTCTGAGAAACAAAGTCAAAATTGCGTGATATAAACTTGCAATTGCGGGAAAAAAGCTCAGAATTGCAACTTTATAACTCAAAATAAAAAGTCACAAAAAAAAAAAATTAAATTAAAATAAAGTGTAACCTTTTTCTCTTCAAAAACATAAAAAAAAAAATCTTACATTTTTCTCCAATTTTTTTTTTTCTCTTCAAAAAATATTGGTAACATTTTACAATAAGGTTCCATATGTTAACTGTATTTAATGCATGAACTAACAAAGAGCTGTTACAGTATTTATTAATCTTTGTTAATGTTAGTTCATATAAATACAGCTGTTTATTGTTAGTCCGTGTTAGCTCAGGTACATTAAATAATAGATACAACTTGATCTTAATAATGTATTAGTAACTGCTGGAATCAATCAACATTAACTAAGATTATGAAATGCTTTGTTAGTTTATGTTAGCGTACATTAGCTAACTAACTAATGTTAACGAATGGAACTTTATTGTAAAGTGTTACCAAAAAAAAAAAATATATATATATATATAAAATCGCTTACATTTGCCTCTCTTTGATTTTTTTTCTCTCTCACCAAAAACATTTTTACTCTCTTCACCCCTTTTTGTTCCCTCGTAATTTTTTTTTCCCCACTCTTAAAAACTAAGACATATTTTTTCCACCTTGAACTTTTATTCACGTTGTGGTTCAGGCTGCTGTAATATATACATTTTAATATATAGAGTTCACTCATGTAAAGCCATATACACTATACAGCAAATCTCAACTGCTTGATTCTTTATATCGTCATAAATGTAACTATTATCGTCTGGTTCTAATCTGATCAATTTGACTATCGTGTATGATATTAAGATTGGCAATATATCTATATATACTGAATATCTTTTATACTGGCAATATAAAAGATATTCAGTTTATTATCCATGTTCTGATATTGTAAATAATGCAAAGTATGCTGAGGCAAGTCTCACCTGTGATTCAGACCCTAGAAAAGATTCTTGCTTTTCTGTGAAAGAAAAGAGAAAGAGCTGATAAATCAATCAAAGACAGCTTTACTTTCATACTTTACATAAAGCTGCTTCCAGTAGAAAAAGTGTTCAATAAATGAAAGCAAAGTTGAATTCTAAATCAACTCTATGTTGAGTAGTTCCCCAAATACTAGCAGTAGTGAACAATTAAATTACTGTAAACAGTATTGAGAGATTGTGCTGGATTACATAATCAGATTACAATAATTAAGTACGTGTAATTAGATTATAGTACATTTTAAAATACTCACTTTTTTATTGATCACTTAATATTCACAAAATGGCAATAAAATGTTAATAATTCACTGATTCTCCCGAATTCTTTTATTTTTCTATTTTACATTCTCCTTTCTAAAAGGACTATTGCTTCGGAAAGTTTGTGAAATTAAACACAGGCAAAACTGACAGATTATCTGACAGCATCAATAAATCAAATATTTCATCATTTTTAGCAAGTGTTTAATTTGGATTATTTTTTTATTACGTTTTAAAATGATTTCTTTTAATTTAATGCAACGCAGTGTTTAATGGCCTTCGTGTTCTTGATAACAAAGAATGGAATATTTCTATTTCTCTTTGTATTTTTGTATCATTATGGAACAATATTTTCACATTCAAGGCAAGTTTCAAACACAGTGGCAATTTTAAGAGCTTTACAAAAAAAAAAGATGAAAAATATATAATATATATTTTAGTTTTATAAAATAAAAATATATACAAATAATAAAAAATACAAAAATAATTTAAAAATATATAAAAATACTATACTATAAAATACTAAATAAATACTACATAATAAAAAAAATGTAAAAATCAAAGAAAAAATTACATTACTTTGGTCAAATGTAATCTAAAAGTAATCCAAAAGTAGTCGGATTATATTACCTAAAATTTGTAATGTAACAGATTATATTACTAACTACAATCTTTATCATGCACTTTGCATTTAGTAATGCACTACATTTTGTAAATCCGGCTGAGAGACTGAAATGGCTTTCTGTGGTAATTTCCAGCATATTTCTGACACTGATTCCAGAAAACACACGCGTGCATCTGACAAAACTCACCATATCACAGAAAAACCAGCGCCAGCACTTCGTCTCATCGCTTCAAAACAAAACACACACACAACAGAAACAAAGAGAAACACGTGCAAAACAAAAGAGACTCGCCAGAAACAACGTGACGGGAAACCAGGTGTTTTAATAGAAATAATGCAAAAGCAGACAGCAAGTAAAACAAAGAGGACACGGTGATATGGCACCGAGTCTGATCTCTGTGAAGCGTGTGTGTGACGAGGACGGCGCTCAGAGGGACGTTTCCAGTCGTTTCTGAGGCTTTACCTTCTTCTTGGCCTGCAGCATCTCCTGGTAGGCGCTGGATCTGATGAAGCGGCTGTAGGAGTCACTCTTCATGAGCTTGTAGATGTGCTCCTGATGAAGCACAAACACTGTCAATAATGCAAATAATCAAATAATGCAACTGTCCAGAGACAACGCTTCAGAAACTATACAGTAAAGACGACAGTAACATATGCAATGTGCATGAGATAAAATAAAAATGTATTATTGAGCACTACTTAAGTTGAAATAAAATTGTAAGGAGTAAAAAGTCATTTTTTTCTTCAGAAATGTATTGAAGTAAAAGTACAAGTAGTCAGTTTAACCCTTGTATTATGTTTTGATTTTCGAGCTGTCCGAAATACCATAAGCTGTGATTTTATTCTTTATATTTTGTGACTTTTTCTCATTTAGGGCCATGAACATGTCTCAACAAGTTGTGTTCCAAATTTGAAGTTGAAATAAAAAAATTGAGGTTCCTATACAATTTTGTTTAGGCGTTATACCAAAACTAGCCACCGGGTGCCACTCAAACTCCATTGAATTTTTTTTTTGATGCAATTTTTCTGTCCAAAATCACAAAACAACCACCAAATATGGAATCTTGAGACTCAGACCTTTCCAACGATATATAGTTTGTCATGATTAGATAAGAATTTAAAGGGGTGGTTGATTGTGATTTCACTTTTTTAACGTTAGTTAGTGTGTAATGTTGCTGTTTGAGCATAAACAATACCTGCGAAGTTACGAAGCTGAAAGTTCAATGCAAACGGAGATGTCGTCTTTTAAAATTCTGGCAGTTTAATGCCTACAAAAACGGCTGGTAGGGACTACAGCAAGTTACTTCCCGGGTTCGTGACATCACAAACCCAGATAA